TAACTCTTTCCATAAAATTTTAAGTTCTCACGTGATGGACCCATGATTATTGTTGTTATATTTCAGAAATCGTTTAATGTCAGGGACCAATTAAATATTTAAAAAAATGAAAGTTTAGTGACCTATAATAAAATAACATTAAAAATGCAGCGACTAAAATGTCAGTATATTTAAAATTAACGGACTATTTATGTCAATTAATCTATTATTTCATAATATTATATAACTAGTCCTAACCAAGTTGGTTTGGACAAATAAATTATGCTGCTAAAATAAAATGAATAATGAACAGCCAGCTAGGGCTTATTAGCGCATCCACATCAAGATAGACATCACAACCTCTCTTCATTTTCATTTGGGATATTGTTATCGTTATTACTTGTATGTCCTAATCTAGCCAAGATAGTACTTTAGATTATCCGTAGAGTTTAATTAATTATCTATTTTTCAATAGTGGGGAATAATATTGAATGCACGTAGGATAAGTTCAGCCCTAGTAGATTGGAAGGTCCACGAAGCCCCAGAGTGCGGCCACTTCATGTGTTTGGCAAGTTTTGCATGCTCCTACGATCATATATATATATATATATATATATATTTCTAATTTATTTACATTTTCTTTTAAAATATTCAACCAAATTAATGTGGCGGGGGTAACCCACTATACTTGTGCTTTCGGTCCTCGTGCATGAACCTAATTGGCGAAATATTCGTTTTGTTCGCTAGTCTAAAGGTGAGTCTCTCGCTAATTAGGACTTCAAATTAGAATAAGTCCTAATGACGATTTGTATGTGTATCACTTGAATGTCATTACCCAATTTCAGTTTAGAGAATCATTTTATTATAGATTTCTGCTCCGTTGATCAAATAAGGCCAGGATTTATTATTATTATTATTATTACTACTATTATTATTATTACTAACGTTGCCAACGTGTGCAGCAATATCTTTTAGGAGCACGTTCCTTATCTTCATATCAGAAAAGCATACCAACCTGAATTTCGTCAACGAATTCTCAAAAAAAATAAAAATAAAAAAATAATAATAATAATTCTTGTAAATGAAAGTTATAATCAAGTACTTATGTGTGTATATGGACCTGTGGTATATGCATTTTTATATATGTTATATATTTATCACTAATATTGTTTCTCTTTAAAGAAATCGAATTTATATGTATATTTTCTCAAACTTTCATTTCGTGAATATATATATTTTCCATGTTTCGAATAAAAATATTGGTCTTGTCATCCGTTAGTACGAACAAAGAGTTCTAAAGCTTGTAGCATTTCTTTCATATTTTGAGCCAGAGAGCAAATCCTATTGACCTATTGTTTTAATTAGTATAATTAGACCTTTCGAAGTTAGTTTCCCTTACTGTAATGTACAAAATAACAACTTCCATGACGTTATTATACAGTTTGAATGTTTTTGTTTCTTTAAGAAGCCTTTTATTTTTGTTGCTGAATAAGAAAATGTTTTTTAGGATACAACGTTATTATCATCAGAGGGTTCAAAGTTTGATAATCCGCACGTATTCCTACTATTCCAATGGACTATACAACGTTATAATTGTGTTTGTGAATGAAAATAATAGTCAATTTTTTTAGTAAAATTGAAATAGATTCTTTCTGTTTTATCGATGTTTTCCTGAGGTTATGCTATATTTGAAGGGATGGGACATGGTAGGCCCAATAATTTTTTTTTCAGTAAATAAAGATAATAATAATAATAATAATAATAATAATAATAATAATAATAATTGTTATTATTATTATTATTATTATTATTATTATTATTATTATTATTATTATTATTATAATAATAAATAATATTGACGCACTGTAAAAGAAAAGTTGGAATTAGGTACAAATCAATTCTGTAGCAATATGTCAAGATTTGTGGCTGTATGGTAGTCGTTGCCAACATATGTGAGCATTTCTTTCGAAGGACATTTTCAATGTTTTTGAAGCATTCAAACTCGGAGTCTTGTATGGAATGCTTATCAAGTACATACGGTATACCTGTCCTGTATGGTAGTCACAATAATTATAGTGCATTAAGAGAGACTGATAGGTTTTTTTTTTTTTTTTTTTTTTTTTTTTTTTTTTTTTTTTTCTTCTTCCAATAGTAGTTTGACAATCGCATTCTACTGTATCCTATAGATTTATTGTAGTATTACATCTTCTGAAAAAGAAAAAGAAAAAAAAAAGAAGAAAGAAATGCAGTATTACACCAAATACCATGTTAGACATAAGAAACACGCATGACTTTTGGTCAAAATAAGCACCCCCTTAATTATTTTTCTTTTGATTTAATATATTTGGAATATGGGCTTGTTATGAGATGGGTATCTAGTAGGAGACAATTTAGTGGGGATGTGCAAGCTTCTCCCAATACAAGTGGTTTTCTCTGTTTTGTGATTAAAATAATTTAATTATATATATATATATATATATATTAACTACGAGTATACTTAAAAGTCAAAATTTAGAGATAATAATAAGTTTTTTTTTTTTTTTAACTAAAAATTTTGTGAAAGGAAATTTTTTTTAGAAAAAAAATTGACACGAAAATTACAATAAAAAATTTCAGGGATGAAAATTGAAAAAAAAAATGTAAAGCAAACGTAAATTTAACCCCTAGCTAGTTAGGGCACAGGCTTAATTTGGCCCCGCCTTAATCATTTGTTTGTAACACCAAAATGATTGCATCTTTACAGAAATGCCACAAATTCAAGGCTTAAATTGACTTATGCTGTGAGAAAAAATATATATACATGCACAGGCTTAATTTGGCCCCGCCTTAATCAGTTGTTTGTAACACCAAAATGATTGCATCTTTACAGAAATGCCACAAATTCAAGGCTTAAATTGACTTATGCTGTGAGAAAAAATATATATACATTTATGAAGAATGTCATGTAAATGTCATCACACTGTATTTGGTATTCTTAATCTCAGGTATTTGCCGTGATACCATCCAATTTCCTTCGTGATTCCGGTCGACACCCAGCGAGACATAGGTGGGCTATGGCCGTGACGCTGGTAGGTAACTATTAGCATCTATTATGATATCGATCAACATCCACCTTGATACAGTACAAGCTCCAATTTGAGAAGACACATTATTTCACCGATTCGAGTTTTCAACTATAGATTTTTACAGTTAAAAGCTCTCAGAAAATGTTACGTCTAATTTTTTTTGTTACAGTTAAAAACTCTCAGAAAATGTCACATCTCAACTCAAATTAAAAACTCAAATACGCAAAACGAACGAGACCTGTGGCTTAATGCCAAGGCCGAGCTCATACGGTTGACAGAGATCTCACCAATGAGGTGGCAAACTCCAGCTAAGTAGAGATGATGACGACCAAGAGGTTGTAAGGGCAATACTCCATACGCGAGAGAGAAACAAGAGAAGGGAGTTTCTTGGAAGTAAGAGGAGAGAGAGACAACCCTAACTTATTTTGTTGCTATTGTAGTATATGTTAGGTCCGTTTTTCAGTCAGTATCACAAAGAGTATTATAACACTTGTTGTAACACTAATAATAAATACGTACAGATTTTTTTTATCTCATGACAACGGTCGATCCACCCTCAAAAAGAGTGTCAACCCTCTTAATTATTCCAAAATCCGTGTTAATTATAGACGAATTCATTTGCATATGCTTACCTTAATTTTAATATTTTAATTTCACATTTATAGTATATTTGTTTCACGGATATGAACTATAGTTTAAATATTTTCATTACAGTGTCTCTAAACAAAATGAATTTCTCTTCAAATCGCGAAGGCCACTAGAAACTTACTACTTTTTGTTTAGAGACTATAGACAACAAACATTGAAAATAATTTCTCTTCTGATCAGTTGTCATAACTAGAAAATTCTGGCCATATTTGGAAAGTTCCAAGTGGCTCCTAACTGCCACGTCACGACATATGTAAATCCAATCCCAAAACACACATAATACCCACCTCAGATTCTCCTATGCGTTGACCCGTACTGGATGAACCTGCCCACGTTGAACGCTGGCCAAAAAGTCCCTTCTTCCCCGCCGGGATCTCTATCCAATAATAAATTTCTATGAGTGAGTTCGAAATTTAGTTTAAAATGATTTTATTTTTTTTTATATAAAAATAGATATGAAAATATTTTTAGTCTCAGATAAAAATTATTTTTAAAAATACATTTAGTAGTTTTTTTAAGAGATTATTTTCAGTATAAAAAAAATCCATTAATATCTCTCTTTACTCGAGAAAGGAGAAAACATAAAACAAAAAATAAAAAATGACTAAAAGTCGTTTTTCATTTCTATCTCATTTTACACTAAATCAAAAAATCATTTTCATTTTCATTTTTTATCTTTAATTATACCAAACACCATTTCTCTTCCGTTTTTCATTTTTTTAATCAAAAAACGTGAAAAATAAAAATGAAAACAACTCCAGCCCATGTGTTTATTTCCATGAATATGCTAATAAGTACATACGGAAGTTATTATTGTGAATAAAAAAGGCTGTGTGGTTATATGCTATTGTTTTGGGAGCCTTTTTTTATTATAATTTCTTGAAACTTTTTTTCAATTATAATTTGAATAGAGTTTAGATAATGATTGAGAAAATTATGATTTAATTACAAAATCAATTACGTCGTAAGATAAAATATCTTATTGATTGGTATAGTAAACCTCGTGCATATCAATGGGTTTAAAATAACATCGTGATTATTCTCAAAAAAAAAAAAAAAAAAAAAAAAAAAAGCATCGTGTCGTGTTTTTTTGGTAGACCACTGACCATACGCGGCGCCTGGAAACCACACAAGTGTGACTGAGTGAGCACCTACTCTTCTTTACCCTTTTTTCTTTCTTTCTTGCTTTAGACGGAAAACATATTTTAATTTCTACTCGTTGTACCAATTTTGACGTGTCTCTTCCACAAGCTTCTCTATAAATACAGAAAGCAAAGGCAAGACTAAAGCAATAATATTACGAGAAAAACTAATAAGCATATCAAGCAATTAATACATAAATCACATAATAAGCCATGGCTAATTCCGATCTTTCAGTCATTCTTCCTCGAGTCCTGATCGTCTCCCGGCGCAGCCTCCGCAAGAACAAGTTTGTAGATTTCGTTGGTATGTTTTTTCGTATTTTCTGAATCGATATTGTTGTTAATATTTAATTTATGATTGAAAAAAAAAATATATATATATATATATATATATAATATAGATATGTTTATAGCAAAATTGTTGACGTATCTCTGGTGAAAATATTCCAGGTGAATATCATCTTGATCTCATAGTCAGTTACGGCGCAGTACCAGTAATTGTTCCTCGAGTTTCGGGCGTTCATACGTTGTTGAGAAGCTTCGAGCCCATCCATGGCGTCCTTCTCTGCGAAGGCGAAGACATCGACCCGTCTCTCTACGAAGAATCCGCCGAGGCCTCGGGTCTTTCTCCGCAAGAGGTGGAAGAAATCAGGAGGCTTCACTCGAGCGACACCGCCATAGACAGAGAAAAGGACTCAATCGAGTTGAGTCTCGCAAAGCTTTGCCTTGAAAGGAACATACCATATTTGGGAATCTGTAGGGGCTCTCAAGTCCTAAACGTGGCTTGTGGTGGGACCCTTTATCAGGACATAGACAAGGAGATCTCTGAGAAGCGTCCTAAGGAAAGTGAAAGAGTTGTGCATATTGATTACGACAACTATGATGGACACAGACATGTTGTTAAGGTTATGGAAAATACACCTTTAAATGAGTGGTTTAAGGATTCCTTGGAAGAAGGGAAAATGGAGATTTCGGTTAATAGTTATCACCACCAAGGGGTTAAGAAATTGGCTCAAAGGTTTGTCCCTATGGCTTATGCACCGGATGGTTTGATTGAAGGGTTCTATGACCCAGATGCTTATAATCCTGAAGAGGGCAAGTTTATTATGGGACTCCAATTTCATCCTGAAAGAATGAGGAAGCCGGATTCCGATGAATTCGATTATCCCGGATGCCCCTCTGCATATCAGGTATGTTAATTTTGTATGAATTACTCTTTCCTTTCGCATTTGAAATGTAGTATTAAATTTTATGCAATGTCAGTGTTAGAGAACAGAACTGATAAACTGACATGGCATCATAACAGAAAATTCTAAGTGTCCTTCAAATTCTCGAGATTAATTAATATTTTTTTGAACAGGAATTTGTGAAGGCGGTGATTGCTTATCAAAAGAAGTTGAATAGCTCTACATCAATTCCGAACGCCGCATTAAAGCTTGACGTTCGAGAAATGGAGAAGAAGAGAAAAGTTATTGTTAGAAGTTTCTCACTTGCTAGGAACCTTTACGCCACAGGGCATGACATGGATCCAATCAAAGAATCTGAACTTGAAGCTGGAGCTGAATTCCTTGAGGTAGTTTATGATCTTCTTGATGAATAAGTATGAATTACTTCATACATATGCACTATCCAAATAGATTCTTGGACTAATTTTTCGCGGTTTGTTTACAGTCGAATACAGCATTGAGTTTACAACAAGAGAATAGATTGAAGCAAATGGGTGCAACGGTGAGAAATGCAAATTCCTACCTCAAGAAATTAAAGTTGGATGAGCAAAGGCAAAGCATGGCAAGATACGTGATGGCGAAAATGTCGGTAGAGCAGTTGTCAGATCTCATGTCTTTCTACCACATGATGGGCCAAATCTGCTCTGAAGTGTTGGAAAGAAAGCTAAATGACCTTGTCAATAATGGCCTTGGTTCTTAAGTTTGGGTGTTAAAACGGAGTACATTATACCGTCGTTTTCACTCACATGAATCTTGATGTGTTGTGTGTACATGTTGGCTGTCTTAATCCCTGTTTTTCTTTTTCTTTTTAGTTATTTATTTTACATTTTCATGCATCTTCTGCAATGAAAACATGTATCTCTTATTTCAAAAAAAAAAAAAAAAAAAAAAAAAAGATGCATCTCTTTCCGTCTTTTTCGTCAAGTTAAAAAATTAAGATGAATAGATGATGTGTCATATTTTATTTTATTTTATTTTATTCTTTCTATGCCTCATCAGTTGTATTATTCACAAACGTTTATGTCGCTTGATTACGTTTACGCAAGCCTACCATGTTTTCTTTATGGTTCCTATTATGAAAGCAATCATAAAAATATCGACAACTTTGTCCAACACTTTTCCGAATATATTCAGTAATTGGGACCCTTTATATAAGCACAGGGTGCAAAAATATGTATTAAAAAAAAATAGTTTGTCATGATTTTACACATATCTATTATTTATGTCATTTTAAATAATTAAGTGTTATCATGATTTTTTTTTCACTTTTTTAATTGAATGGCAATTGTTTATTTTTTAATGGAGTTGTATAAATAATATTTTTTTCACAATTTTATCTGAAGTTATATGCCGATATTTATATGAACATATCCATAAAATATTCGCATATGTAGGAAACAAAACAAATAAAATTATTTTGAAAAAAAAATTCCAAATTTACATGTCTTCTACTCTTTCATGAGGTATCAATAACAATTGTCAAATTATTCAAGCATTTTATATGGGAAGAAAGAAGTAACAGCATTTTTACAGTGAAGAGCAGACTTTGAAAATATTGAAGTTTTCAAGAGAGACAATAGTTCAAGCATTTTTTATATAAGGAGAAAGAAGTAATTAGCATTTTTATAGTAAAGAGCAGACTAATTTAAAAATATTTGAAGTAAACAATAAATAAATTATTTATCTTGTAATTAAATTTGCTATTTATTATTATTTATTTCAATATTTTAAAATCTTATTATTTATATATTTCAGTTTCGTAACAATCTTATCTTATTTACTATAATATTTGAATATTTTGTGTAGACTAGGATTAGGTTGGGTTGCAAACATATTGGCTGTGTTTCGAGTTGTTTTGTTTTTGTTTTTCAAGAAAGAAAAAATGAAAATAGGAGACAAACGGTGTTCGGCACAATTAAAGATAAAAAATAAAAATAAAAATGATTTTTTAATTTAGTATAAAATATGAGAGAAAAGAAAAATGATTTTTAATCATTTTTCATTTTTTGTTTTCATATTCTCCTCTCTCGAGTAGAGAGAGAGACATTAATGAATTTTTTTATACTAAAAATAATCTTTTAATAAAACTACCAAACACATTTTTTAAAATGATTTCTGTCTAAAATTGAAAATGATTTCATTTCCATTTTCATATAAAAAATAAAATCATACAAGTACTAATGGACTATACAAGTACTAATGGATATGATTTCTTTTTTTTTTTAATTGAATAACAATTGTTTATTTTTTAATAGAGTTGTATAAATAATGTTTTTTTCACAATTTTATCTGAGGTTATACGCCGATATTTATATGAACATATCCATAAAATATTCGCATATGTAGGAAACAAAAAAAAATAAAATTGTTTTGAAAAAAAAAAACTTCCAAATTTACATGTCTTCTACTTTTTCGTCAGGATAGCAATAACAATTGTCAATGTCAAATTATTCAAGCATTTATATGGGAAAGAAGTAAACAGCATTTTTACAGTGAAGAGCAGACTTTGAAAATATTGAAGTTTTCATGAGAGATAATAGTTCAAGCATTTTTTATATGGGGAGAAAGAAGTAATTAGCATTTTTATAGTAAATAGCAGACTAATTTAAAAATATTTGAAGTAAACTTTAAATGAATTATTTATCTTATAATTAAATATGCTATTTATTATTATTTATTTTAATATTTTAAAATCTTATTATTTATATATTTCAGTTTCGTAACAATCTTATCTTATTTACTATAATATTTGAATATTTTGTGTAGACTAGGATTAGGTTGGGTTGCAAACATATTGGCTGTGTTTCGAGTTGTTTTTATTTTTGTTTTTTACGTTTTTTGAGAAAGAAAAAATGAAAACGGGAGAAAAACGGCGTTTGGTATAATTAAAGACAAGAAACAGAAATGAAAACGTTTTTTTAGTTTAGTGTAAAATGTGAGAGAAATAAAAAATGATTTTTAGTCGTTTTTCATTTTTTGTTTTCATCTTCTCCACTCTCGAGTAGAGAGAGAGAGACATTAATAAATTTTTTATACTGAAAAAAATCTTTTAATAAAAAAATGTTTCGAGTTGTTTTTGTTTTTGTTTTTTACGTTTTTTGAGAAAGAAAAAATGAAAACGGGAGAAAAACGGCGTTTGGTATAATTAAAGACAAGAAACAAAAATGAAAACGTTTTTTTAGTTTAGTGTAAAATGTGAGAGAAATAAAAAATGATTTTTAGTCGTTTTTCATTTTTTGTTTTCATCTTCTCCACTCTCGAGTAGAGAGAGAGACATTAATGAATTTTTTATACTGAAAAAAATCTTTTAATAAAACTACTAAACCCATTTTTAAAAATAATTTCTGTCTGAAATTAAAAACGATTTCATTTCTATTTTCATACAAAAAATAAAAATAATTTTAAAATAAATTCTAAACGCACTCATTGTTTTTGAACGTCACGAATTCATTTTGGCATAGAATTTTAAATGGATCAAGAATATCTATACATACATATATATATATATATATTATATAAACTTGAGATCATAAAAGCGCCAGTTGTGATCAGCACGAAAGCGCCGGTGGGTTTTTAAAAGTTGCATGTGTGTCTCCATCTTTATGTGTCTCCTGCGGAACTCAACACCGTGGAGTAGTATGGGTAAGTGTTGTATTTTTTATTTGTTATTTATTTATTTATTTATGTTTTTTAGCTAAGAAACATGGACAAAGATGTCAGATAAATAGAATATATATGGTTGCTTTCAGAGATATTTGTAGCTCATTCGATTAAATTTGCTTGTCATTTTGATACTCGACTTGTTGTCATTGTCAGCGATCTTTTTTATTTTTTGATCATGGGAAAATGTATTTCATTTTATATTTCCTATTATTCTTATGTGTACTGGAAAGTACGACCCAACTTATGAAGCTGTTGATTAGCTTGTTTGGATTTGTTTTCTTAACTTAATTATATTCTAAGTTTTTATAATTTCAAAGAAATTTTTTTGAAGAAAGTCTAAACCCTTGGAGTCTAGAATTATAGTGTGAATTCCTAACAATTTTAGTCGGTTTATTTATTTATTTTATAATTAACAATTTTAGACGGTACCAAACCATATTGTCTTAGTCGATACTGTAACATACCGGTGTCCAATATAAATATAAGTAGGAAACTTTTAACATCAATAAATATTATGCCATAAATATTATAGCATAATTACTTTTGTATTATTTACTAAATTTTCAAAAGGTTTTTTGAAAAGACGGTATTTACAACCTTTTCCTTCAAATTTTTTTTAGGGAAACAGTAGATAATAGGCCAATATGAAAAGCTTAAGAAAGTATATAGACTAATTTTTAGTTATAAAATTTAATAGACCATAATTTTTGAATTTTCAAATTTACCATTTTTTTTCTTTCCTTTTTCTTTCGATCATCTCTTTCTCTCTCTCTCTCTCTTAGCTGTACATGCATCTCTCTCTCTCTCTAGCTTCACGCATCTCTTCACCGGTGCCGATCCGTCGGTCGGTCGGTTGTTCTCTTTCCTTCTCCGGTCATCTTTGAGCAGCTATTCCGGTAATTTTTACCGAACAATAGGTTTGTCTCTTTTAGCTGTACACGCAACTCTCTCTCTCTCTCTCTAGCTTCACGCATCTCTTCACTGGCGCCGATCCGTCGGTCAGTTGGTCGTTCTCTTTCTCGTTGGATTTGCTCTTCTCCGGTCGTCTTTGAGCAGTTGTTCCGGTTATTTTTACCGAACAACAACCTTGTTTATTCTTGGTTTTTAGTTTTTTTTTGTTGTATTTTCGTTTTCATATTTTGGATTATTTTGGTTTGCTCTCTCTTTGTCTGTTAATCCTGTATTTTTTGCTATTTTCCGGTCCTTTTTTGAGCAGGTCCTCTGTTGATTTTTACCGAACAACAGGTATGGGCATTTTTTGTTTCTAGTTTTTTATTTTTTATTTTTTTTTGTTGTAATTTCGTTTTCACATCTTACATTATTTCGGTTTTTTAATATTTTTAGGATTGAATATAGCTCTTGTAATTTATTGATTTTTGTAGGCATACAATCTGTTTCAGTCATTGACAGTTTTTTTTTTATAACTTGTCCGGTTATAGGACATAACTTGACGAGTTATAGTCCACAATTGACAGTTTTTTTACATAACTTGTTCGGTTATGCACTTTAACGTGACAGTGTTCCTGCAATATGTTTGTAGGCATGCAATATGTTTCAATCATTGTTGTTTATAGGGGAAAATGGAGTCAAGAAAACCAATATACAAATTTTGGTTTTCAATCAGTTTTTATTCCGGAGGATGCTTCTTTGCAGTTTTTACAGGAGTGTTTATGTGAGAAGTTGCATCTTTAGTTGATTGGTTTTAATGCTGGTGTTCATTATTTATTACTTTTTGTGGGAAGGAAGTTGAAGGACCTAATTGAAATGGTTTCGGAGCTAAAGAGGGATGATGATGTTAAGTTACTTTTAAACTTGGTTCGACACAGTAAGGAAGGTCTTGGATACCCGTTGGTAGTAGATTTTATTAGTAGCTCCGTTAGTGCAGCGGGATCTACTTTTTCTTCATGTTGTTTTATGAGTTCAAGAGATAAGGCGTCTTCTTCTAATGATGATGGTTTCGTTTGTCAATTTGAAGATGATATTGATGTTGTGATGAATAATATTTTGATTGAAGATTTAGATATTTCAAAGCTGCCTATGTCTTTTGATGTGAATGTAGGAAATCAATTCATGAGCAAGTCGGTTCTCAAGAAACTCATGCATGTAATTGCTATTAGGAGGCATTTTGAGTTTAAATCTGAAAGATCCAATAATTCATTTTATGTTTTGGTTTGTAAGAATAAGAATTGTACTTGGAAGATGCGTGTTGCTAAGGTTTCAAATGGTAATGTTTGGGCAGTCAAGAAGTATGTTAAGGAACATACTTGTTCACTTGATGTTGTTAGTGTTGAGCATCGTCAAGCAAATAGTCGTGTTGTTTCAGAGTTTTTAAAGGGCGATTTTAACATTGAGCTTGCGGATCGTTTGCGTCCTAATGATTTGAGGTTTATAATGCATGGTAAGCATGGTGTCGAGATTAGTTACTACAAAGCACAAATGGCTTGCCGATATGCGTTAGCATCAATGAGAGGAAGTGCAGTGGAGTCGTATGCTTCCATTCCTTTTCTGTGCAATGTTTTCAAGGAGAAAAATCCAGGTCATTTTTTTTATGTGTTATGCTTATGCTTTTGTTTATCTTTATGTTTTGAAGGAGAAAAATCAAGGCTATGGTACCTTAACTTGACAGGTTATAGTCCATAACTTGTCATGTTATCGGATAAGTTGACAGGTTTTTTGTTAAAATTTATCCGGTTATGGAGTATAACTTGACATGTTATGATTCATAATTGACAGGTTTTTTGTTAAAATTTATCCGGTTATGGAGTATAACTTGACATGTTATGATTCATAATTGACAATTTTTTTTTGCATAACTTGTCCGGTTGTGCACAATAACTTAATTAATTTTTTTTAGATATTAGAATGTATAAATAGTTATTGTATTTTCGTGTCATGTATAAATAGTTATTTTTAATGTTTTTGTTTTGGTTTTTTCTTTGTAGGATCTGTGATTTCTTATGAGCTTGACAATGATGGGCGGTTCAAGTATTTTTTTGTGTGCTTGGGGGCTTCTATTAATGGTTGGCGCCATTATAAGCCTGTGATCTCAGTTGATGGCACCTTTTTGAAGAATGAGTTTTCTGGGACCTTGCTTCTCTATGCAGTTTTAGATGCTGATAATCATATTTTTCCGCTTGGTTTTGCAATTGTTGATTCGGAGACCGACTCCTCGTGGGAATGGTTTTTTGAAAGGCTTAAGGAAGCTATCGGAACTCGCGAAGAACTTGTTATTGTTTATGACCGAAAGAGTAGTATCCTTAAAGCAGTTGACAAGGTTTTTTCGGATGCATCTCATGGATTTTGTATGCAGCATTTACTTAGAAATTTAAATTCAAATTTTAAAGGTGTGCATGTGGTTGCTATATTCTATCGTTGTGCCAAGGCAAACCGTAAGGAAGACTTTGGTTACTTCATGCGTCAATTGGAGGCAGTGCGACCAGCTATTCGAAACTATTTGCTGCAAGTAGGGGTTGAAAAGTAGGCACGTGCTCACTTTGAGAGGAAGAGATATGATGTCATGACGACTAATATCTCTGAGTTGTTGAATAATGTCTTAGTGAATGCTAGGGAGTATCCTATTGAAGCTTTAATTGAGCATTTCAGATCCCTCTTGCAAAGATGGTTTTATGAACGTCGAAATAAGGTGGATCAGACTTTTACATACTTGACTAAACATGCAAATAAATGCCTTCGTGATAAGGAAAAGATTGCACGTTGCTTCTATGTAAGTTGCTTTTGTTTCAAGTATTTACTAATCTTTTTTATGTTTCCCTTTTTTTTGTTTCATTTTTGTTGGTCATGTTTTTTGTGTTGATTTTGTGATTCTTTTGGACTCTTTTTTCTTTTGAAGTTATTCTTATTGTTTGATTTGGTGATTCTTGTATTTTGAAAATTCTACTTGCTTTCAAGGTGGTTGCTTCTTTTTTGATTTGGTCCTTTTTTATTTTTTCACTGTTGGGGACTTAAATATTGAATGCTATGTTTTCTTTCTTTTTGTCATGTTTTCAGGTTTAACCCATGGATATAAATTAAGTATTATGTTATTGATGGTTTTGTTGGTGAGGTGGTTGACTTGGTGGCAAGAACATGTAGTTGTCTTGTTTGGCAAGCTGAAGAATTTCCATGTCCACGCACCATTGCATCGATTTGGAAGAGAAATCTTGATCCAGCACATTTTACTTCCTACTATTACACTAACAATGCATTCAAAGCAACATATGATGCTGTAATCTATCCTCTTAGTAATAGATCACAGTGGCAAATTTCATAGGGCAGTAAGGAGGAGGTTGTTCTTCCTCTTGGGTTTAAACGTGGTGCTGGGAGGCCAAGGAAGCAAAGGATTCTTTCTAGTGGAGAACAAGAGAAGCGATCTGTGAAGTGTAGCCGATGCAAGCAAGTTGGCCACAATAGGAGGACTTGTTCAAACCCCACATCTGTTGATATGAATTGATCAACATGTTCAAAGTTGATTTTGTCATTATGGTTAAGATTAACACTGTTTGATTCATTGCAATGTACTGTAGTTTATTTTGTTCAAAGATACATTTTGTTTGGAATTGATTCTAGCATTTATTAAAGAATTCATGTGAAGAATTTTTGGATTTTTGTTATGGAGAGCAAGTAGAACAATTTATTTTTAAAACATTATTTTTATTTTTGTTGGAATTGTATGATTTGAAGGAAAAATATTCAAATTTGCCTAATAATAAAAGAAATCCGTGCATTTAAAAGGAAAAAAACCATAATTTACAGATTATAGTCTAACTTGACAGGTTTTTTTGCATAACTTGTGATGTTATAGACCATAACTTGTGTTGTTATGGACGATAACTTGTCAAGTTATGGACCATAACTTGACAGGTTATGGTCCATAATTTACAAAATTTTTATTATTCGGTTATATATATATTAAAACCCTAGTCGGTTTTTGTCCATAACTTGTGCTGTTATGGACCATAACTTGTGTTGTTATGGACCATAACTTGTCAAGTTATGGACCATAACTTGACAGGTTATGGTTTATAATTTACAGATTTTTTATTCGGTTATATATAATTAAAACCCTAGTAGGTTTTTCTTCATAACTTGTGCTTTCTGTTTTCTCTCTCTAAGACTCAGTTTTCTCTTTCCTCAATTTTTCTCTCTTTCCACCAGCGTTCTCCAGTGATTTCTTTCTCTTCCTTCCGTTGGTCTTCGGCAATCTGTCTCTCTTCGCTCTGCAACTCTCTCTCTCTCTCATCCCTGACAGTGTGCATTTTCTGACAGTATTCTTTTTCGGTATGAGTAGTTTTTTTCGCGTTCCTTTCGTTTTTTTTGTCGGATCTTGTGATTTCATGTATTATTGTTTAAGATATGGCGAAATCACAAAGCAAGAGGAAGAACAATGCTTCTATTTCTACTCCGAGTAAACGCTTGAAGGTTCTGCACAAGGAAATTATTCGGTAGAAGAAAAGTTCGGAAGAAGTTTGTCTTCCTTCTCCCACTCGTAACATTTTGGAGGTATTTTGATTTATTTTACTTAGTTTATAGATTTTCAAATTTAGGATATGTAATATAGTTTTATTTTTGTGTTTTGATTGTGGATTTTTAGGTTTATCCTCATATGGTTTTTCTTCAGTTTTTTTATCATTTTTACAACCTTGGAATTATCGTATTAATCCTGAGAAGAGATTTCGAGGCCAGGTTAATGTATCATCCTCTTTTGCTGTTATAAAGAAATTAAACAAAAACTTTTCTGAAACTCAAAAGGAATTGTTTAGGAAAACAATTTTTGGTCCGTTTTTTTATTTGGTTAAGTACAGTAACTAGTGTCAGCTGATACATGAGTTACTGTTTCATGTAGTTCATAATCCAAATCCAAATGAGTTATGGTTCAAATTTGGTGATTCTTTTACTAAGTTTTCTATTGAGGAGTTTGCGTTAATTACTGGTTTAAAGTGTATAGGAGATGTAAACTTCTCAAGTTATGTAAATACATCTAATTTTTCAAGACGTTACAAATATTTCCAGGATCACTGTACATGCCTTGTAAAAAGGGGTACAATTAAGAAGTGTTTTAAGTCTGTATATTTTGATAGTGATGAGGAAGCTGTAAAAATGAGTTTGTTACAATTTTTGTCATTATTTCTTTTAGCTAAGCCCAAGGAGGTGGGGGTTAGTGATAGCCTGATTAGAATTGTTGATAGCCCTCATTTTAACGATTTTCCTTGGGGTAAATTGTCTTTTAATTTATTTTTTGCAAGTTTGAAATCTGGTATTGACACTTTATACAAGCATGATGATAAGGTTCTTATTTGAAATGAAAAGAGCGTGTAGATGGTTACAAGATTTACGGTTTGGCCTTTGCTTTTCAAGTTTGGGCTTATGAATGTCTACCACACATTGGTGGTATTTGTGCAATGAAAAAATTTATTGATAAGCCCATTTCGTGAATTTTCAAATGGTCGATGGACGAAAATTATTCAAAGAAGTCGTTTGATGTGTTGAGAGCAAAGATGGCCAGGTTAGACTTCTGTCTTATAGTTTTTTTATAGTAAATTTTCATGTTTTGTTGTTTTTATTAATATTTTTCGCTTATTTTTTGTTTTAATGTTTTTATTTTTTATTTTCAGTTCTCTTATTTTTTGATTAAACCAATTGAATCGGAGCGTCGCTGTAATTATTTAGATGGGTTTTCTTAGAAGTCGGTAAAGGATGTTCCGTCTTCTAGTGGCTGTGAGTTGGAGGAAGATGACAAAGATTTTGAAACTGTCCCTCCTCCATTTATCCCTCCTCCAAAAACTCAGGTTTGTTTTGTTTTTGTTTTTATTTAATTTTTGTTCATTGTAAGGTTGCTAGTAGCATTTTCTTGGTAAATCCATGGATTTACCAAGAAAACCATTGGAATCTTAAAGCTTTCTTTACCTTTGGAATCTTATAACTTCATAAATTATGGACCATAACTTTGACAGGTTATCATGCATAACGTGCGAGGTTATGGTCCATTAATTGTCAGGTTATGGTCGATAAGTTGATAGGTTATGCTCTAAATTGACAAGTTTTTCACATAACTTGATTGGTTATGTTCCATAGTTTGATACGTTGTGTTTTTCATTTTGATTTGACTTTTTTCGTTTTCTTATCTTTGTATTTTTAGGGTGCTGTTGATAATTCTGAAATTATGGCACACTTTGGTTCCTTGGAGGCAAAAACTGATAGTTTGGTTGTTGAAGTTTCTTCCCTTCGTAGAGATTTCAATGAAAAAATTTCTTCCCTTCGAAGAGATCTCAATGAACAAATTTCTTCTATGGTTCAGTCAATGATAATGCTTGGTAAAAAGCTCGACAGTGTGTTTTCTTCTAAGAATAACAAGCAAAGGATTGAAGAACAAGCATTTGAAGAAACAAAGGAAGAAGAAGCAATTGAAGAAATAAAGGAAGAACCAATTGAAGAAACAATTGCAGAGAAAGAGGATGAGAAAGTGGGTGTTTCTTCTAACAAAATTGAAGAAACAATTGCTTCAGTTTTGAGGGATCTTGTCCATGATGTTGCTAAGGAAGGTGATAGATTTTCTGAACAAAGGATTGTTCTGTTTGATGAGGCAGCGTCACAAGAACCTATTAAGTGTATAGATAGAAATTTTTTATTTTTTTGTGCATTCTCTGAAATTGTTGATAGTGATCCATGAGAGGAGGACAAGGCAAGGTTCCAATCATGGTATACGAGTAACATGATCTCTAAAAAAGTGTTGGGACCGGCCAACAATGCACATTTGATAAAGCCTGCTTTTGATTTTAAAGTTGAGACCGTTGATTCAAGGTATTGGTTTCATACTTTATGGACTCCAAAGTGTTGGCTAAGTGACTCGGTAAGATTTTACCATTTTGCTTCTTTTTAAATTTTGTGCAAGGTTTTTTTTTGGGAACAAATTTGATAATTATTTTGTTTGTTTGTTTTGATAGCATGTTTATGTAGCCATATATTACTTACGGAAAAAGATGGTGTGCTACACCAATAGGCCTTACATTAGGTGCATGGTTTTGGACTCACATTTTTTCACGAGAATTAATAGCTTATGGTGCTCTGAAAAACAAAAGGATTTTGATTGGTCTACATTTGATTTCTCTTCACATTCTGCTCTTCAAGATTATGTGTTGGGAGATTATTTATTTTGTAGCTTGCCTTTTTGTGAAGTGGACATTCTTCTTGTACCTATTTTTCTTCAGCGTAGGGAGCATTGGGTTTTGGGTTATGTAGAGTTTAAAGATCATTGTATTAGGATATATGATTCTCTTTTTTCAAAGAGGGTAGAGAAGCAAGTTCGTGCTTCTGTGCAATCTTTGACAGTCATTCTACCCCACTTGGTTGAATCTGTTGGCTACTTTGATTCTCATTCATAAAAGTATTTCACAAGTCAATTTGATCGTCATGAGCCTTTTGATATCATATTTGACGATTGTCCAAGACAAGAGAACATGTTAGTTTTTTTTTTTTTATCTCTTTAAATGTTTTTTTTCCCTTTACTTCATTCATTTTTACATTTATATTTGTTGTTTCTAATTCTTAGATTTTTGGTGGTTGTTTTTTGTAGTGGTGATTGTGGAATATTTATGCTTAAGATGGCTGAGATCTTAATGGAAGCCGAATCTGATGATTGTTTGAGAAAGCACGGGGCTGGAACATTATTCCGCAAGAAGATGGCAATTGAGTTGTTCAATCATGCCTCGCGAAAGTAACAATTGGGGTATGAGAGTGATGATAACATGGGTTAAAATGCCCTAAAAATGTATTTTATGACGCCAATAGATGCCATTGAGTTTGACTTGGATGATTATATTGATTAACTTGTTGGTTTTCAGATTGTTGTATATTTCTAGTTTTGGAACATATTATATTGTTTATTGGTTTTTAATTTTAGTAAGTAAGCAAGTTTCAAGTTATTTTGCATATTTTTATATGTAATGCTCGTCCATTACTTATCTGGTTATGAACCATAATTTGACATGTTATTGTCTATAATTCACAGTTTTTGTCCATAACTTGTTTGGTTATGAACCATAACTTGACAAGTTATTATCTTTTTTACAGTTTGTGTCCATAACTTGTCTGGTTATGAACCATAGCTTGACAAGTTATTGTCCATAATTCATGATTTTTACCATAATTCACAGTATTATGCTGATCAGCACAGGCGAGCCTTAGAATTCCAGGAGGGTGACATCCCGAGTTCTTCTTACCTTAAGGCTGATCCATCCCCTTTGGTCTCGAGCTTTCACCATCTTTCTTCTTTCTCTTGTCTTTCTTCCATTCTTTACCCGTTTTCTTGGTCTACTTGCCATCTTCCTTAGACTTTCTCTTGTCCGCGTTGGTGAAGACGATCCGATCTTATAGTTGATCAGGCCATCCGCGGCTGCAAAAGCCGTAGGTAAGTCCTTCACATTTTGCCTCCTTAGTTCAGTCTGGGCCCATGGT